TGGATTGATATCCATTTCAGACGCGCTTATAGAAGAAGAAGCAATGATGCTTACATCTTCTAGACTTCCATCTGCCATTGTTTTTGAAAAAAATAAACACAGCAGTTTCGATATACAGAACAGGCTCAGAATGATGCCCGCTCTGATACCATGTTGAAGTTTGTGGTTTTCATTATATCAACAAGCATCCAAAGGTTACACAAAATATATAGAAGAGTTTGAGTGAGTTGCAAATTGCACTCAACACTCACGACAGCCAGCATAGGATGCCACACTAATCTCCTTAAATCATGCAAGACAGCTAATTGAGACATAGGGAGCCACACTAATCAGCCACACTAATCTCCTTAAATCATGCAAAGCAGCCGACATAGGGCCTCACTAATCTTCCTTGAAATGAGGAGATAAGACCCTTACACAAGATGATAAGATCAAGAAAAAAAATAGACAGCTATTAACTAGATAAAACCCTAATGAAGAGTAGTCATAAGTAACCGGAGGTCCTTCATTCAATAGTTTTTCTTTGTTGTTTCTGGTAACCGTAGGTCGCAAACCTAATTGTGAAGGCCCCGGATCAGCATGCATGGACCCTCGCTTCATCGGTGGAGATGGCATTGTCTTTTACTTCCACGGCAAGAAAAATGAGTATTTCAGCTTAGTTTCTGACCCCCAACCTCCAAATCAACGCCCGGTTCATCGGTCTTCGCCCTGAAGGCAGAACCAGGGACTACACTTGGATTCAGGCCCTTGGACTCCTCTTTGACTCTAACAGCTTCTCCCTAGAGGCCAGCCAAGCATCGGCATGGGATAATCAAATCGACCACTTGAAATTTATTTACAATGGAGAGAAGCTAATCATCCCAGAGTCTCAGCTCTCCATGTGGCAATCTCCAGAAAATGCCATTAGAGTAGAGAGAACATCGAGCAAGAACAGTGTTCTGGTCACTCTCCCGGAAGTTGCTGAAATTTCAGTAAATGTGGTGCCTGTGACAAAGGAAGATGATAGGATCCACAATTATCAGATACCATCAGATGACTGTTTTGCACATCTGGAAGTACAGTTCAGATTCTATGGATTATCCTCAAATGTGGAGGGAGTGCTTGGAAGGACTTACCAGCCAGATTTCAAGAACCCGGCAAAGCCAGGAGTAGCTATGCCAGTTGTGGGAGGGGAAAACAAGTACAGAACAACATCACTTGTCTCCGCAGATTGCGCTGCTTGTGTTTTCACTAAATCCGGGAAGATGGATCAAACAAGTTTAAGGGTGATGGATTACGGAAATCTTGACTGCACTGGTAATTCCTTCAGTGGGAATGGAATAGTTTGCAGGAAGTAATTGATATTATCATAAGCTCAAGGAATAAGTGAAGATATTAACTTCTCAGATGATAATTTAAACTTGTGTATCAACTCATATGTTAATTAATACACATAATGCTGATAATATCTGTAATGCCAATCTTCTTGCACTCCTAACATTTGACGATGCGCTTTACAAACCTTGCGCCCAAGCTGGATGAAAGTGTCTTTTATCCTTTTAATCCTGCTACTAGCATTAGCATCATCGTAATGTAGCATTACCATAATTTCATCGCAAGATATTGGAATTGTAACATTCCACCACGCTTTTATACCCAAAGCCTGATAACACTAGTGCAGTAAGCTGAAGAATTGCAGAAATATCAAACTCAAAAGAAAGATGAACTCAGATGAAAAGAAGAAAGAGGATTATGAAAGCTTGTTATATTTCTAACAACTCAATTACACTGTTCTCTTACACAGTTTATATAGCACAGTGAGCTTTCTTACACTCTAAGAAAGTAGTTATAACCACTCTAACAGACTGCCACATCAGCTAATACTGTTAGCTAATATCCTAACTAACAGATAAAGCCACATCAGCTGATTGATCTTCAGTGGGAATATAACTGACTTCCAAGTCTCCTTATTGGACTCTCTTTTTGACAAAGTGATAGCAGTGTCTAGGCGCTTAATTCGAGAATGGAACACAGGATTGGCACTCAAGACAATGGCTGACATGTTATCACAGTGAATGATAGGAGGATTGGGTAAGAACAGCTCCAAATCCTTCAACATATACCTAATCCAAGCAATGTCAGCTGTAGTGTGAGCTAAAGCCTTGTATTTTCCAAGGTCATTTTAAGTCAAACATTCCAAACAGCTCTTGAATAACTTATGAACTATTACAAAATTTGATCCTGTCAATATGGTATGATCATCTAGTAGAAAATTAGAAGAATAATATATGTCCCATCCTTCTCCATGAACAAACTTGTATCAGACGTGGAAGCATGAAACCCATAGCACACATATGACTTGTAAACTTGGAGTTCCAATTTGTTGAAATAGAAAATAGCACTCAACCTCACAGAATAGGTGATGTTGCATACTCAAAAAGAGCTTTAAAACTCTCTACAATATTGTTCACTAGTGAAACGGCCGATGAGCAACATATGCAACGGATTTGTAGTTAGTGGTTAACCGTGCTTACTCTTGCACCTAAGATTTTGTGTTTGAATCATCTTTGGCTAGAATGGCTTCCGCTGTGGATTATCAACCTTCATTACTGAAATGGGTACTCTACAACAATGAATTACTTCTACCAAAAAGGGGTCTATAACTTCTATTCAAGCAGTTATGTACCTACGGACAATTTGACCGATCCTACTCCGGCCACAACATTTTCACATTTAGATGCTACTACCGTACCATTAAGAGGATTAGCTGCCAAAAATATCTATCCAACAGTAAATCCTTTGGATTCAACATATATAAAAAAATGGTGAGCACCTTATGAATGTTTAGCCATGTCGGTTTCTGGTCTAATACCTTAGGCTTTTGACTTATAAAGTACAAAAAAGTATGCTAGATTCAGTGTTTTAAAAGACGCGCCTCGGGGCACCTAGGCGGCCTTGGAGGCGGGGCTTTGGCAATTTTGCCTCTGTTTTCTTGGATTGGGTGGAAACTCGCCTAGGCTTTGTCAGGGCGTGCCTGAGGTGTTGACTAGGCATTCCTGTGATCCAAAATCTTGCTTGAAATTTGAAATTTTCTAGAAAACTCTATGCTCTATAACTATGTTGCAGCGGCGTCTTCACGAAGAAGACAACCACGTGAGGAAGAGAAAGGTTTTTTTATTTTTTATAAAGACTTGGCTCAAAACGATGTCGTTTTGTCCGAGTTTAATTTTTTATTATTTTTTATAATTACTGTAGTCCTTCTTCTCTGCCAATTCTATGTTACCCAATATCCCATTTTCTTTGTATATTTCACCAACCAATACCCGTTTCTCTTTGCTATTCCATCCCCAATTCCATGATTCCCTTTGCTCAATTTGTTTCAAAATTCTCCAAACCACCATAATTTGTTTCAAAATTCAAGTTTTTTAGTATTCTAATCTTAATATATAATTCTATACACAATATATATTAAATTATTTAGATCTCATGAGGCTTCGCCTCACACCTCACGCCTAGGCGGGGCTATCCATGGAACGCTTCGCCTACACCTCCGCCTTTTAATACATTGGCTAGATTTGAATGCATGTGTTTTGCTTGATTTCGGGAACAAATTATATTCTAGAAAGCAACTGGCCAATGAGGCAAGTTTGAAGAATATACGACTCCATCTCCATTGATGGTTGTACGCAGAAATGCAGTTTGCACAGCCATTTTATCGGGTGCAAAATAGGTGGATTACTTCACATGAGTAAACCAAACCATGTTATTGTTATGAGAACATTCTAGTCCTCCACACCACACAACCTATTTATTTCAGGAATTATTCATTAAAAATAGTCTATTTATTTGTTGTAATTAATTGACTAAACAATCTTGGTTTTAATTGATGTTTTTGTAGAGATTTCTTTACATAATGATTTATAATATGAACGATTCAGATTATAAACACGAAATTCGAATCGGCCACTAAGTGAATTGAAGAGGAACTCCTCATTAATCTTGAGGAGCCAAGCATTGTTTTTTAATTCGTAGCTTAGATCATTCAATCACTAGAAAACTTATTGTATCACGGATTCAACAAATATTCAATACTAAGTTTAAACCATGCACCCAAGACCGGTCTTGAAGATATGCAAATTGTGCTACCACACAGAACCCTGAAAATTCGTTTGGTGCATGTATATATGATATGACTAAGCATATTAGCACAAAACAGCAACTTGATAGTTGTTTTTTTTCCTCTCAAAACTTATTTTGTTGTCAGTCGAATATTAGGCACTAATGGAAGATAATTTAGTATAATAAGGTTTGAATGGTTTAGTTGTTTTAATTTGACCAATTTAGGCCCTTATTTTGGAACCACAGCCGTATTACTGTATGCTTTTTTCCTTTCATTATTTACTTTGCAAAGCATCAAAGTTTTTGAATGTTATGTTAAACTACTTTAACATGTAAAGATCATAAACCTCAAATTTGTTAACTGATAAAATTTGTTAACTGATTAAGTTTGATTATTATGTTTTCATGTATGACCATGTCTTCCAGTGATTGACAAAACTTTGTCTTTTTTCTTCGTATTTATATGTAGTAAGGTTCACTTTTATATCTTTGCACACGATTTCTTAAAACTCAGGGCCTTATACGTACCAACATTGTTCTCAAATTAACCATAAACATGATATGTGAGGTTTTATCATAAAACGCCTATGAAAAATTAATGAATCATTGAAACTGTGAATTATTGGTGTGCAATTTGAATGTTGGATCATGCGCAATATTCCCTTTGGCTTGCATTGAGCCAAACTTCACCAGCAATGCTTGTATCAGCTTCAAAACAGTTCGGAAAAACAAAAGGAAAAAGAAAAAAGAATCAAAAACTCATATTGTCATTAGCTATGTCTTTAATCACAATCATATAACCAAACTTATCCAAAGCATTTGAAGAGAATCACGTTTAAATCACCAAACTTAGAACGAATTAATGTATACTTGAACAGGATAATATACCAAAACTCCCACTTGATAGCATCTGTAAACAAAGAAATTCTTGGGCTATATATGCATCAACCTTTCATTGCTGAGGCATTGAAGGGGAAAGAAAAGAAGCCATGGTTTTCTTAGGTAGCAAAAGGGTTTTGATCCTTCTGGTAGTCCTTGTATCTGCTGCTGTTCTGGTGCAGAGTATGCAACCTCCAAACCGTAACCAACCTTTGAAACCTTCAGACGCAAATCAACCTCTGAATCCTCCAAATAGTAAGCAACCTCTGAATGCTCCAAATGGTAAGCAACCTCTGAATCCTTTAGACGGTAATCAACCTCTGAATCCTCCACATGGTAATCAACCTTTGAATCCTCCAAATGCTAAGCAACCTCCAAATCCTCCAAACGCTAAGCAACCTCCAAATCCTCCAAATCCTCCAAATGCTAACCATCCCCCAGATGTTAAAGTTTGCTCTGGCAAGAAAAGTCCGTGCTTTGGGAAGCAAGTACATTGCCCAAAGGAATGTCCATCCACTTCACCGACAGACAAAATGGCTAAAATGTGCTATCTCAACTGTGACTCTCCTATATGCAAAGCTGAGTGCAAAAGTAAGGCTACTATAGTTATGTGTTTACAATGTTTTCACTCTGTTTTCTTTTATTTAGAATGCACCTAGGTAACTTAAAATCATTGCTGACAATGTTCTTTTATTGTTGATGGTAATCGCAGGTCCCAAGCCCAACTGCAAAGGCCCTGGATCAGCATGCCTGGACCCTCGCTTCATTGGTGGAGACGGCGTTGTCTTTTACTTCCATGGCAAGAAAAATGAGTACTTCAACTTAGTTTCTGATCCCAACCTCCAAATCAACTCCCGCTTCATTGGTGTGCGCCCTGAAGGCCGAACCAGGGACAACACTTGGATTCAGGCCCTTGGACTCCTCTTTGACTCTAACAGCTTCTCCCTAGAGGCCAGCAAAGCATCAGTATGGGATGATGAAATCGACCACTTGAAATTCACTTACAATGGAGAGGAGCTAGTCATCCCAGAATACCATCTCTCCGCGTGGGAATCTCCGGAATATGACATTATAGTGAAGAGAACATCGAGCAAGAACAGTGTTCTGGTCACTCTCCCGGAAGTTGCTGAAATTTCAGTAAATGTGGTTCCTGTGACAAAGGAAGATGATAGGATCCACAATTATCAGATACCGTCAGATGACTGTTTTGCTCACCTGGAAGTACAGTTCAGATTCTATGACTTATCCTCAAACGTTGAAGGAGTGCTCGGAAGGACTTACCAGCCAGATTTCAAGAACCCGGCAAAGCCAGGAGTAGCTATGCCAGTGGTGGGAGGTGAAGACAAGTACAGAACAACATCACTCTTCTCTGCAGATTGCACTGCTTGTGTTTTCACTCAACCCGGTAAGCTGGATCAGACAGATTCAAGGCTGATGGATTACGGAATGCTTGACTGCACTGGTAATTCCTTCGGTGGGAATGGAATAGTTTGCAGGAAATAATTGATAGTCACAAGCTCATGGAATAAGTGAATGTTTTAAACTTCTCGGATGATAATTTAAAGTTGTGTGGTCAAGAGTTTTGGAACATAATCCACCTCTAAGTGTTAATTTCGTTTTTCATTTGTGTGAACTGTGAATTTCCAGAATTTCTTTCTTCAGACAATTTGGCTAAATGTAGCCGTTTAATTTAAATTTTGTACTCGCGTAATAATGAAAGTGTGCAGTTTATCGAATAAATTTTAGTTTCATGCTTATCACAACGAACTACCTTCAAAAAGTGAAACTCACTCGCAATCTCATATCATGCATGCTAATTCAGATGCAGCAATGCAGATGAATAGCGTTCATAGTTCCTAATGAGGTATCGCTAACTTGCGACCCAAGGCTGCTCTTGCAGATCTCGAATTCTCTATTCCAAGAACTCAAATCTTAAGGGAAAATCCGAAAATGTACCTGAACGGTTTAGAAGGTATTCTACTCGTGGACAATTAGTGCACAACTCAACTATAAGCTGATATAGCCAGTGGCATTTAACATTTGTTTCCAAACATAAAATTTCATTTTCTATACCACTATATAAACAAAGTCCTGCCTCTCAAGACCTAAAACAAGATTATTTGAATTGTTTTCTTCCCCTTTTTAGACCTGATCAGCAAACCCAACAAAAAATCCTTGTCCATTACATAACTAGAAGAATTTAACCAGATTTCCCAACAGTTTTATGTGAGTATTGCATATTGTTTTGTGGCCATTTCATAGATAATCTTTCAGGATGGGTTCCGTGTTTTCTCCAGGAACAAGATTCTGATAACAAAGTGGAAATAAGTAACAGAATATCAGAAAGACTTAATCGAAGGAAAGGAAATATTTATTACGAGCAGTGTGTTAAAAGCGTGAGGCGTGGGCAAGGCGTCCGAGGGATAGCCCAGCCTAGGCGTGAGGCATGAGGCGAAGCCTCACGGCATCTAAATTTTTTAATATATACACTAAGCGTACACATATATTATATTAAAAAAAAAATTATTAACCAATAATCATCTTAAGCACACACATATATAGACATATATTAAAAAAAAGGTCGTACCAGTACACAAGGCTCCTGCTTTACGCAGGGTCTGGGAGAGGTGAATGTCGGCTAGCCTTACCCCCATTTATGGAGAGACTGCTCCCAAGATATAGACATATATTATATATATGTATATAATAGAGAATGAAAAGCACAATGAGCACACATATAACAATGCACGCAGACAGCACACACATCCATTATATATAAAAAAAATCAGAAAAAAAAAGAAGGAAAAGAGACGATAATGCAAGGAAGAGGTATGAGACAACTAAAACCCTACCTAAAATTTGGGTTTGGGAGTTAAAAAAATAAAAATAAAAAAAGCCCTAAGGCGCACCTTCCGCCGCCTAGGCGGCTCCGGCGAAGCCTTACACCCACTCCCTCAAAACAGGCAGCAACCCTCAAGCCCAGACTCAGAGGGCGCCTAGGCTCGCCCTGAGGCGAGCCTTTTGAAACATTGCTTACGAGTGAGAAATAGGCTACTGATGTCACAAACTCTTCTTATTTTATTTTTCTTATGAACAATGAGAATATATGCGAATACAATGACATCAATTATAATTTAGAAGCATGGGAAGCTCTGAAAACCCAGATGCATTTATATATCAAGACAACAACAAAATCCTTTGGCACCTCACCTGCAATTTCTGATGGATTCTGATTGGCATCCACCATAACTATATTACAAATAAATCGTGATAGAAATATTGACGTAGTAAACTAGAATAATGAACTACGAAAGAACTTTTTCCCTCACTGCGGCCAGGATGACCGATATCTTTTAAGGGGAAATTAAGGAACAAGATTCAGATAGGCAAAGGATCTGTCACCTCATCTTCCGCGAGGATTAACAAGCTGAGAAAACACAGCACTTGTGGCAGCATTTTCTGTGTCATCTGTGCCGGAGTGTCCCCCGTCAACCATGCTCACACTGTTATCAAATGGCTCTCCTTGGGTTAATTGGATACCAGGTATGTGGTTTGTGCTGTTATCGTCAGGTTCCATGAGTGCAGAGATGTCTCCTCGAGCTGAAGAGCATATTCAAGATTCCACAAGACATCTCCCATTGATGGCCTGTCAACACCATACTCAGCAAGGCACTTCTCAGCTGTCTCCCCGAACTTCTTAAGAGAAGCTGGATTTACCTTCCCCGCCAGATTAGGGTCCATGATTTGGTCTAGCATGCCCTTCTTCTGCCATGTCATCGCCCACTCTGCTATGTTGACCTGCTCCCTTGGAAGAACAGGATTTAAAGCTGGTCTTGTGCACAGAACTTCCATTAGAACTACCCCGAACGAATACACATCAGATTTCTCCGTGAGCTGTTGCCTTCGGAAGTATTCAGGATCAAGGTAACCAAAACTACCCTTAACAGCTGTACTGACATGGGTCTGATCTAGAGCTGGACCTGCTTTTGAGAGGCCAAAATCAGCAACTTTGGCTACAAAGTTCTCATCCAAGAGAATGTTGGTTGTCTTCACATCTCGGTGAATTATGCTTTGAGCTGCACCAGTGTGGAGATAATGGAGCCCTCTTGCAGCCCCAATGCAAATTTCAAGGCGTAGCTTCCATGAGAGTGTTGGCAGGTCTGTTCCATACAAATGGCTCCTGAGGGGTCCATTGGCCATGTATTCATAGACAAGAATCATTTCTGACCTTTCATCACAGTAGCCAATAAGAGACACAAGGTGGCGGTGGCGGAGCTTGGATAACATTTCAATCTCAGTTCGGAATTCAGCAAGACCTTGTTCAGATCTGGGGTTTCCCCTTTTGACAGCTACTTTAGTCCCATCTTCAAGTGTTCCCTTGTAAACCCTGCCAAAACCACCAACCCCAAGAAGTGCCTTCTCATCGAACTTATTGGTTGCATCCAGGATCTCCTGGAACATGAAGATTTTGCCAAGATTGGAGGAAGCTAATGAAATGCAGCTAGCTGTTCCACTCTTTTGTGAAGTTGTAGACATTTTTGTCATGGTCTGAGAATTTCCGTACAAGGGCAAGGGCAGCCATGTTGCTTGGCTAGTTGTCTTCGGCTTGCGGGATGCCAAGCAGCAATAAAGGAAACCAATAATTGCCACAACAGCAACAGATCCCACAACAGAGCCAACTATGATTCCTATATTATTCTTCTTTGAGGATGGACTAGGAAGAAGATTCCCCACGGATAAAGACCCGTCCAAGCTCCCCAACTCATTGCTGATCTTCATAATCTCCAACCCATTCAGAATTGCATTGGTAATATCAGCTGATGAATCTGGACCAACACTGATAGTCAAAGTACCTGCATCTTCTGTGGAGTTGGAAACAAAGTCTTTGTAATATGGCACGCCCAAGTCACCAGTCATCGAAGAGAGATCAAGACTCCCAAGCACATTGTCAGAATTTATGAAAACATTGAAAACGAGATTATTCAGAGCCTTGCTGACAATATCACAAAAGTGTACCCGAACAAGATACATAAAATTTGGATCTACTGTAAAGACCCAAGTTATGTTGAAGTTCACATTGGGCACGTTTGCATTTCCCATGGCTTCAGCTGTGGCATAGACCCAATTTGGGGCAATTTCAGGTGTGACAGTCGGCGGATATTTTATGCTTGCAAGGTTCACCGATACATTCACTGCAGAACTGTCCACATGGAGGTACTTCACGTCATTCTCCCAAGTTCTTCCAAGGGTATCATTTTGAGATGTGAGCAAAGGGCCCCCCATGTTTAACCGGTAAACTGTTTGAAGGGCAAGCTCAGAAAGTCCGCTAAAAGGAGCAGATGGATTCACAGCATATGCCTGGTCAGGGAGCAGCGCATCCGGGATAGAAACAACTTCAATTGCATTAACAAAAGCAACTGAATTGTTTGAAGGAATGAAATTAAGAGTCAAAGTATCCGAAGTTACATTAATTGCATACTCCTTGAACAGATAAGAACCGTTAAAGTTCTTGAAAGTGAAGTTGTTCAAGAGTACAAAATTTTCAGTAACTACAGTCATTTGAGCAGAATCCAATTTTTGGCCAGGGCTTGTAAGAGGGAAAAAATAAAGGCGGACCCAATGCCGGCCTTCTTGCTGGACTTTGAATTTGTAAGAAGCTGTTGCCTGGAAAACTCGAGCAGATTGGTAAATTGGAGAAGGGGCATTAGCATTGGGGCTGGCAACTAAAGAATTTGCACTTTTTAGTACAAGGGAAGATTGTTGTGTATCGGGAACAAAGGTTCGACCTTGGAATGTGACATTTTTCGGAGAACCGCAGGCAATTAAGTAGTTATCGACAGGAGTGAATGAAGCGGATGATCTATAGCTCATGAACACAACAACAGCAAGAAACAAAGCTACCCAAGTTACAAGTTTCATCTTCACCGTGTCTGAAAAACCAGATCTTCAACGGCAAATGAGACCAAATCAATCAACTCAACAAAACCCAGTTCACCAAAAATAGGTACTTACAGTCCCAAATGTCAAAACTCAAAACCCCAATTCTCCAATGAATCAAAACCCAAAATCCAAAAATTTCAACTACCCCAGATCCATCCAACTCAGTACACAAAAACCCAATTGAAAACCAAGTAGTAAAATCCCAGCATTATCAAACAAGGCAAAAACATAAACATTGCTCGTATGCAGAGGAAAGTACCACTTGCACCACCAACTTCTCCAACACAAAAATACACACAGATTTGAGCTTTTACCTCAATGGAAGTGAAAAATGGGAAAAATCCGCAGCAGAGTGAATTGGGCCAGCGCCAAGAGAAAACCCAGTTGACACAGAGACTACGTGAATCCCACCATGAAAACCCATCAAGCTTCAGCCTTTTTAGTGCGGTTGTAACCATTAACAACCCTTTCCAGGCTGTTGATTTAGGCTGTCATATGCGGAGCTCAAACATAAAGAGGACCCCACAAAGAAGAAAAAGAATTGGACATGGAGAGTTGGAAAGTTGGAAACTTGGAAACTTAAAAATTCAAATATTTATGTCCCTCCCATGAAACCAGTTGATTTAATAGATATTTTGGTTTGATTTGGATGCTCAAATCTTTGGAAAGTTGGAATATAATATAACAGAAAAAGCCATGAAAGCTCTGTAACTGAGGGTGAGAGGCTTGGTATTGTTACTATTATAATTTTTTGTTTTTGCTTTTGGATTTTGTAGGGTTCGTAAATATGGAAGGGATTAGACACCTATTTTCTGTTTTTGTTTTTTATTAACGTAATACTCCATAAGATTTGAACAGAATGGTTGATGTGCTGGAACCAACGGGTTCTGGGACCCCATTTACGCGGCTTTGAATTGAAGAGGTGGCGAGGGGGTGTGTGGTGTTCATAGAATTTCACTGGACTGTTTGGTGGAGATATTGGTAGTTGTCAGATATGAAATATGAAAGGCTTATTTTAGATTCTTTACCCTCCTAATCTCTCTACTCTTTCATCTCTTCATATTTGAACCGTCACGGTTAAAACACGTCAACATTTTATATTGATTTTTTTATAGAGATAATCAGACAAAAAGTAATGTGTGAGATGAGGGGATGAAAGGGGATGAGAATAGGAGGTCCATCCCCTCCTCCTTATTTTACTACGTGCTCTAAAACTTTATTTTGATCTCATTTTACTCTTTGTAACTCAAAAATCACTATTTTATTATCTGAAACTTAAAATTCATTTCAATTTGACATGTAGACTCTTTCTTCTATCTGAAATGTGTCACATGTGCAATAAAATTTAGTTATAAATCCGTCTGTTATACGTTAACATTCAACAATCAGAAAATATTAAGTTTAATAGAAATTGAAGAGATAATAAAAAGCAAAAACAAAAACAAAAAAACCGTGTATAAACAGGAGTCTACCTATATAATGCTAGCATCTGCTAGTCATCCATCACACTAGCGTCCGGTGAATCTAGATTCTATTAGAAAACATAACACACGTAATTATCCGACTGCTGCAAATAAACTATACTCTATGTATAACAGACCATGTAGTAAAAATAAATCATAAATAAACAAATATCATTTAAACGTCGTCTAATTATTGCAATCCCAAGTCCTCATCTAAAACCAATATCAAGGCATACTCAATTATCAAAAACATGTTTATCCAAACATTAGTAATGGATCCACTCATAAGAGTTCAGGTCCATCCTCCTCAACCGGTGCCCTTCATTTCCTTAGTTTAGGCAAACTCGCACCTGTACCTATAACCTAAGTCACTTTAATACACAATAAAGTTCCTAAATGTTATATGTGTCAAATGCCTCTAAATTAGTGAAAAAGAAGTGCACCATGTGATCCAGGATGTCAGGAACCCTTAGATTACGTCCCGGGTCCTCACGCATCGTCGTACAGACAGCTATGCGCGCCACACACCACCTACTCGCCACCCGATTTTCTGGACAATTAGTTAGGGATTAGCTGCGGTGACAACTCACCTCCTAGTGCCTAGGCGGCCACCTTTTAGAATAATGGTATATACATGTAAAATTACGGATTTATAAAATGATAGTGTTATTCATACATTAATTTTTACCTCTTAGACAAGGAAGAAAATATCGGTAATATCGGTAGTCTGAAAACACGGAAATATCGATGGAAATATCGGAATAATATCGATATCGATAAAAATTACATGGAAACCACGGAAATTGTAAGAAAAACTTGGAAATTTTTATTGAAACTTTGTAGGATGTTTATTTAGTCAATTATCTATTAGTTTATCACAAAAATTGGAAGGAAATGCATTGCATGATGGATTTAACTGATTTAAGTTGATTATATAGCGAGCTGGCAAACATTGTGAGTATAGAAAATATGTAGTAATTAATAAAAGAAGTTTAAACACACCATAATCATTTATATATTATGAATTAGTATAATATTTTACACTTTATATATTGCATGGTAAGATACATGAGTGACTTATTACCCTTTTTTTTATTTATTTAAGAATTATATGGTTGTGGGGGTTTTATTTAAAATTTATATTGAAGATGCTCTTAAATTATGTAAAATTGTAATCGAAAACAATAATTTATAATTTATATAAGATATATATATGTATATATATATATATATATATTCCACTTTATAAACTGTCCACCTCACCTTGCTATTTCCCATCACCCATCCACCTTGGGTGGTTTTCATGATTAAAACCATCTCAAAGTCCATGGTTTTCAATTTTTAAACTATCCAAAAACGTCAACATCTGCTATCTCACATTACCCAATTTTTTGAGTCCTCAACTTGCACAACCACCGCATATTATTCACACTCTCTCATCTCTGCTCTCACTCACTCTCTCTCTGCCTTCGCACTCTTTCATCTCCGCCTCTGCCTTCGCACTCTCTCATCTCTGCTCTCACACACACACACACACTCTCTCTCTCTCTCTCTCTTCGCACTCTTTCATCTCTGCCTCCGCCTTCCTCACCGATCCCACCGACGACAACCCCACCTCTGTCGTTGACTCCAGCGACGACCACCACAACCCCCAATTGCCCCCAAACCCCAACCTCAACCTCCACAACAACCACCCATTCTCCTCCCCCCCGGAGCCCGCCCCGCCGGCGCCGCGCTCGCCTCCGTCTCTGTTCCACGTCTACTTCAACCAAGACCACGCCTGCTTCGCCATGGGGACAGACCACGGGTTCCGGATCTACTTGTGGCCGATTCGTTCCGCGAGCTCTTTCGCCGCGACTTCGACAACGGCGGCGGAATCGGCGTCGTTGAGGCGCAGATCTTAGGTCTGAGTCTGCAAAAGATCTGGGTAGTGCGACGACGCAACCTCAGCTGCCTTTCCGACGAGATTGTTTCGATAATATCACGATATTTTGATGAAAACCATTTGGATACCTATTTAAATATCCATTGCGCGAAAAACCGATAATATCGGCGATATTTCGCCGATATTATCGGCATTTTCTTCCATGGTTAGGGATTAGCTGCGGTGACAACTCACCTCCTAGTGCCTAGGCGGCCACCTTTTAGAATAAAGGTATATACATGTAAAATTACGGATTTATAAAATGATAGTGTTATTCATACACTAATTTTTACCTCTCAGATACTCTTATTAATTTTTTGCCATTGCTTTAGCTTATTCAATTCGACGATCGAAAGTTAAAATGATGTGCGAAAAGTAAAAATGCGTGGTAGATAGCACTACCCTTTGCAAAGGACAAGAATTGTCTGCCCTCCCACTTCCGGTGTCCTCCCGTGCCCTCCTGTTTATGTGGTTATGGTTAAGCCACTTCAACATTTTATATTACTATTTATTTTTGTCTTATTATATCTATAAAATAACAATATAAAATGTTGACGTGACTTAACCTTGACCACACAAAATAAGAGGATACGAGAGGGCACCAGAAATTGGAGGGCAGACAATCCTTGTCCCTTTACAAAATCCTCACATGCATTTGTAGTACACATGTGATGCATTTCTAATTTCTCATATCTGCTTGTTCTGATCAGTTCCATACTAATTTAGCCTAAACTCCTTGAGAACTGGAAGGCTCTTACCCAAACATAATCCAAAGGGTTGACACCAAAAAGTTGGGGATTTTTAAGTATGTGAATATATGATTGGGAATACCTATCACTTCTTTTAATAAATCTAAATTATTATTTTCAAACTGAAATAATATTACAGGAAAGGATCCTCGTTGGATACTATAACCATACTAATTAAACTTTAACCTACGCAAGATTAGAAATGAAAATTATTAAACTAAATACAAGAGTGATCTGATTTAAAGAAATAGTCATCTACCTTCTTTTTTTTTCTGAACAAATAATATTATCGACACTAAAAGAAGAGGGTGGGCTTAGCTTCACAATGAGCTAGTAATAATGTGGTTCAAATTTGCATTTGGCGATAATGGAACTTAATACCTCTCACTTATAAGTGAAGAGTAATATGATTAGACCGCAATACTAAGTGACGTCATTTACCTCATATTAGCCTCTTAAAAAATAAAAATCAAGGGTATAATTTAGAATTTGTTAAAAAACTACCAAATATCTAGTAAAACAATACTGATGCAAAAATGTCAGATTGGAAATATTCAGCTACTATATGATTAAGATCCAAAGCAAGGAGGGAAACAAGGGCACCTATGAATCCATTTTTTAAATATTGTGGACGACATCATCTGAGTGTTATATATATGTGTGTGAGATGGTCACATATTTCACATACAGATATAGTGGTGGTAATTGGTAAACGACACCTCTAGTGATTAAGTAGTGTAGGTAGTGAAGAATCGAGTCCAGAGTTGACGGGAACAACCCCTTCTTTTAAGCTCTAATTAAATTAGGGATGTGTTATTCACACATCTTATTTTACTTCTCATACATTTTTTTAATTTTCAACCGTCAGATCAGATGAATTGAAGAAGATCAACGGATAAAAATTATCAAGAGGTATGTGAAAAGTAAAATAAAGTATATAGATAGTACATCTCTTAAATTATAATCCGCCGCATTCAAGCACATGGCCATGATTGGTGTTCACCACGTCCCTTGCTCTTTTATCTTTATAAGCAACTTTTTGACTGGACTTTTGTAGCAACTTTACCATTTATTTATCTGGATATATAGTTAATATTATTAAACTTCTTACTCTTTTAGAATAGATGAAGGGATTAGCAACTTAGTACGTATGATATTAAGCTGGACTTGGATTCTCTGCCCTCCCATTTCGGTGCCCTCCCCGTGCCCTCCTGTTTTTTGTGGTAACGGTTAAGCCACGTTAATATTTTATATTATTTTTTTATAAAAATAATAAAACAAAAAGAAATATTAATATAAAATATTGACGTGGCTTAACCGTGACCACAAAAACAGGAGGGCACGGGGAGGGTACCAAAATTGGAGGGCAGACAATCCAAGTCCTATTAAGCTGGATCCCTCTTGGCCCTCACTCAAGAAAAGAACATAGTCATGGCATAAACTTTTTGAATCTTTTTCTTAGCTATGGGAAAATTAAAAGAAAAAGAAACACTGTCTCAAATATTTAGTATAAGCTTTTCAATATATTCAGAATATAAGTCAGTATATCACGTGTTATAATATATAAGTGGAAGGACATTAAAAAATATATCATCCCTCTACTTATATTATGACACTCAATATATCTGCTTGTGCTCTGAATACATAAAAAA